ATAGCTTGGCCACCAACTAGTTGAGAAAATAGGGCAATAAATGGGGTAGCGTGGCCAATGGCTAACCAGCCATGCGGGTTGCAGGCAGATCATTCACGCCGCACGTATGACATCTCTGGGCATCTATGGGAAGCTCTCTCTTGCTCTGTTTTCTAAGGAAAGCTATATACTTGCCCTGGTGTTACAAGTAATTTCCAAAGTACACTGATGGACACCGAGGATCTAATACAACAAAAGCTAAAATTAAGAATAGTCTGGGGGGCTGGGAAGGTAGCTCAGTTGTAGAGCGCTTGCCTTGCATGCCTGAGGCCCTGGGTTCGATTCCTCAGCACCACCATAAGCAAAATGAAAAAAGCCAGAAGTGGCGCTGTGGCTCAAGTGATAGAACACTAGCCTTGAGCTGAAGAGCTGAGGGACAGTGCCCAGGCCCAGAGTTTAGGCCCCACGACCGGACCCCCCCCCCAAAAAAAAAAAAGGTTAGCAAAATAGGTTATTTAAAATAACCTATTCCACAGATTAAAAAAAAAAATACAAGAAGAATAGTCTGGGGAGACGCCATTGGATTAAACAATCAGGAGGTCAGCCTTGGTAACCCTTTACTGTGTACTTAACTGCCACAAGGGTGCACACCAGGGCGTGGAGCCCTGGGATCCATTAGAAAGGCCACCGGGGTGGCCTGCCCGGGGTGTCTCCGAACCTCCCTGGGTAAGCTCATCCCATCCACGGTCCACAGGTGACCAGATGACACAGGGAGAGACCTTCGCAGACATCCTGTACAATTGAAATTTAATTTAGCAGTTCAGCTGAGCTAATGGTCATGCGCACGTGTGCCTACATGTGCGTAAAATCTTACCAGAGAATTAGTGATTCATTGATGCTGGTGGTCCAAGCTGGTGCTAGGAGGTTCTCCTTTCTAAAGCCAGAAAGCAGGACCCAGTGGAGGGTTCAGGGCCGGCCTCACACTGGTCCTTTGTCTCATCAACAAAGACTCTTGCCAGAGGCCGGACTGACAAGGCCGCTGTCCTCTGCCACCAGCAAACTGGAGGACCATGACATTGTTTTTGGTCAGGAATAACCCCATTTTTGTCCCTGTATCTTGAAAGGAGTGTTAAATAAATAGTTGATGATTTCTTGGATCAGCCCCCAAAAGGCCTTGCACATGCTAGGCAAGTGTTCTGACCACTGAACTACATCCCCAGCTCTTGGATTTTTGAGACAGACTCTGGCTGTATCAGCCAGGCTGGCTTCAGATTCACAATCCTCCTCCCTCCACCTCCTGAGGGCTGGGATTACAGAGCTGCACCACCACACCAGGAGAGGTGCTGTCTTTATACCAAATCGTAGACTGTTGGCTGTGTTTATTGAGCGCTCCGCTTAGTAGGTAAAAAGCTTTTCATCCCCAGCCATCCTTAGCCCCCTGCATGATTTGGTAATCATTCTGGCTAATGGCGGCTGGAAGTCAGCCCAGCTGTTTTCTAGTAACAGTAATTGCTAAGCAGACAGGTCTGCTAAACAGCCGGTCCACCAGTGCGCGCAGCTCCACACCAGGCCAGTGGACCCGTCAGCCGCTGTCTCCTACCTCTGTTTATCTCCAGATGACAAGAAGACGTTCATCTCTTTGCAGACCTACATCCCTGTGCATTGCTTGGGGCGGCACTGTTGGTTTTAGTTTATAAAACAGTGCAGAAGGGAAAGAAGGCTTCCAACATAACCTAGACCTTTGGGGGGCGGGGGGAGGAATTCAAGCAGCTGGGCAGACTCACAGACTTGTGTATGCGGTGCTGTGCAAAATACAATCCCCACATTAGATACCTCAAAGTGATATCTGGAATTAGTAAGATAGGATTCTTGTTTTGCCTTTACTCAGATGGTGCTTGTGAGATCTGGGCAAATTAACACCCCTACCCCCACCCCCTAGCCTGAATTTCACAAGACTGGTTACATGTGAGTGGTAAAATTCTACTGCAGTATGATCTCAATCTTCAGGAGGGAGCAGGGCCGAGTGAGAAGAGCCTGGGACAGGCATTTTCTGTCCCAGTGGACCCCGGTCAGACTGCTGCCTGAGAACCGTGGAGCTGAGCTCTGCCCAGAGCTGTCTCCCCTGGAAAACCTGCTTAACGGCTGAGGGCAAACAAATCCTTCTTAAAACCCAAGCCTGTTTAAGACGTCTTTGCTGAAATCGCCTCTGAACCCCTAGCTGGGATGTCAGACCTGTCCCTTTTCCCACCATAACCTCAGCGATTACTGCAGGGAGGAATTACAAGACCCCTCCAGAGGTGATAATGTGGCTCTAAGGAGATTTTCTGGATCTCTACCTGAGGCTTAGTTATTTATTTATCTTCCATTTCATCCCAACTACTAAGCCTTTCCCTTTGCCTTTCCTGAGTTAGAAACTCAGTGGTACAAGTTGCGGGACTGGAGTCTGCATCACTCTTTCCTGAAGAGGAGGTTGAGGCAGAATAGGGTTTTTTTCCCCTATTTTTATCAACTGTATGCCCAGGGACCAGATGCATCTTTACAAGACTTTTTCCAAATAAAGAACAAAGACTCCATAATTTCAGAGTTAGGCTAAGTTACCCTTCATTTGTGTATCTTTTTAACTTACAAAGTTTTGTTTTTTATCATCGTTCAAACCAGAGTGCTTGAGTTGTATTATTAAGTTTGTCTTGCTTTTGTGGACTGATTTCAGGTATTAGAATTTCTTAGACCTTATAAGTCAAAAGTAAACCTAAATATTAATTAGAGTGCTACAGGAAAAAACAAATTCCAGAAAAGGATGTTCAAAAGAAAGCCAATCCCAACACAGAACAAGCATGTGTGCTAAGGACCAATGGAGGGCCCTGCCAGGCTGACCTTATGTCTGGGATTGCTGTGACAAGGCCATAGATGGTTAGGGGAAGTGACTTTTAGGGTCCCTCTTCCCTTGCCCAGACTTCCAGGTAGTAGAGAAAAGAAGATTGCTAACATATACAGAGCACCTGCCCTCTGCCAGCCTCTGAAGGAGCCCCTATAATAATCTCTACTAAACAAAGGTGTTTGCTATTCATCCCATTGTACAGATGGGGAAACTGAGCTCTGTAGAACTTGTACTTGGAGAATGAAGAGAGGATTTGTGACAGAAGTCCACTAACATCAGCTACTCAAGCTGATCACTGGGAATCTGCTGCCAGTCACCCCACTGGCCTGTGCAGGGCCCTCCTTGCGGTTGTTGTGAGAGTATGGAGGGATTAGTGGCGGACTTCCAGAGGAAGCTACATTTTCTAAAGGATTAGGTGACGCTGTAATTACAGAACTTAACTATAGGTGGCAGCAGGTATCCATAATAATTGTGGAGCTTGTTTTAGATTTTTCTTAGGGTTCTGTATTGATTTCCATGAAAGAAGCATTTTAAACCTCTGGAAATGTCAGCAAAGTGAAATTTTTAAAAACCAAACACAGAGGTTAAATATGTTTTTGGGGGGGGCGGAGCGGGGTACGGAGGGGTTGTCTTTGTTTTTGTGCCAGTCCCAGGGCTTGAGCCCAAGGTCAAGAAGCTCTGTCCCTGAGCTCCTCAGCTCAAGGCTAGCACTCTACCACCTGAGCCACAGCTCCACCTCCAGCTTTTTGGTGGTTCATTGGAGACTCATGAGCTCTTTTTGCCTGGGCTGGCTTCCAACTGTGATCCTCAGATCTCAGCCTCCTGAGTAGGTAGGATTCCAGGCGTGTGAGGCACCGGAGCCCCAGCAGATAAGTTTCTCTTTGCCTTTCTCCCTGTGGTAGCAATGTCACCACAGTAAATTCCATGGCCTCTGTCCTCAGTCTATCTGAGATCAACTTCCTTTGGTGGCTTTTTTGCTTAGGGCCCTCCTTCTGCCTTCTTTCTCTCCACAGAGCTTACACTGAGACCGGGACTACTACTGATGCTATAAAAGTACTTTTTTCCAAAAAAAAAGTTTTAATGACCTTCAAGTCGTTGTCCAGAGAGGCTTCAGTTCACCACATGGGTTTATGAGCGCATGGCATCTTGATCAGCGTCACCACACCCTTCCATGGTCCCACCCCCCATCTCTCTCAACCCCACCCATCCCCCATCCCACCCTGGCTTCATTTTCACGTGGGTACCTTGAATAGTACAGTTGTGTTCACCCACCCTTCCACTTTTCCATCATCAGCTAGGAAAGGGCTTCTTTATCATCAAATAGTGCTGAAATGTGTTCCCCTTCAAGAGAAGTCCAGGCCTGGGCCAGACCTGCAGCCTGGCGGTGCAGGATGGAGGCTGCCTGGTCTCCTCTAGGTGACCACATCCCCAGAGCCTCCGTCCTGGGTTCACCACACAGTGACTTTCTCACGAGCCCCCAACAACTGGGAAGGAAGGCCGCCATTTTGTAGCTCTGTGTGGGAAGCTGCGGGCTGCAGACCCTTGCTGCCTTCCTGCCTCACAGAACCTTTCTGACTGCTGTTGACTTTCCTTGCCTTTATTCAAGGTGAGCCTGTGATGTGTTTCTCAGGGAGAAAAAAAGTGAGTCTCATCCACTGGCTTTTTTGGGTAACTACCTTGCACAAAGGCCTCTTTCAGGTGAGGCTGTTCTACCGGGGGAAAAAAGAAGCCTTTCTTCAGAAAGCCGTGACCTTGACATTCCGGATCTAGCAACCCTCTCAGCATTGTCCCTCCAAGAATGGGGGCCCTGGATGAACCCAGGAAACATTCCTTAGCCAAAGACACGGGTTACTGTCACTGACAAATGTTTCCTAGCATTTTTATTGCACACCAACTATGTGTTTTGTATTGAGCTGTGTGCTGCAATGTCTGGCCTTTGTTTTTTTTACTAAATATGAAATCGATGTGAGGAAAATAAAAACTAATAGGATAGCAAAGCATCCTCTAACAAAAGTTATAATTTAGAAATGGTCATTCACCAGCTGATGGGTGTGAAGAACACGGGAACAGCTTTCTGTTAACAGATCGTCATTGGCTATGACTGCTAGCAAATAGCCAATGAGCGTCCTATGTTTCCATGCAGCCTCCAGAGCGGGATGAACTTGCAGATCTGCTTTGTGAATGACAGTGGCAGTGACAAGGACAGTGACGCCGATGACAGCAAAACTGAGACCAGCCTGGACACCCCCTTGTCCCCCATGGTAAGTCCTCCAGCTCGCAGTCAAGGGTCTGTGTGCTTTCTTGCATGCTTGGAAAGGGGAGGTGTGGCTCAAATGATAGAGCATCAGCACTGAGTGAGAAAGTAAGACCTGAGTTCAAGTCCTAGTACTGGACACACACACACACACACACACACACCTCCATGCTTGTAGAAACTGAGCATGATTGAAAAATCATCAATGTCCTGATGCAATAGGGATATACTTTCACATTAAACTAAAAGAGAAATCAGATTGTGTGTGTGTGTGTGTGTGTGTGTGTGTGTGTGTGTGTGTGTGTGTGTGTGTGTGTGTGAAGGAAAACCAGGCGTGATGGCACACACCTGTAATCCCAACACTTACGAGTCTAAGGTGGGAAAATTATAAATGTAAAGTACAATAAATAAAGAGTTTTGCTTTCTTGCTTATGGCTGTCACTCTGTCATTGAGCCATGCCTCCAGCCTCTTTTTCACGTCTTACAGAAGGTATCTGAATAATGAGGGGTGCTTGTCGCCTGGCTGTTTTTTTTCCTCTCTCTAAGGTCTCTTTTCTTACCAAGGATCACCAGTCAGAAACTGTGTTGGTGACTGAGGCAGAGCAGCATCAGAATGTCATTAGACACCTGACATCCTAGCTGCTCTCAGTTCCAACACAGCACCTTGCTCTGGGTCCAGTGTTAGTTAATATCGTCTCCATTTTTAATTACAGTGTTCTTTCTATGTAAGCTAAAACCTTTTATCCATTACTTGTGTGATGGAGAGCGGCCACGGGATGCCATAGTCCATCACCAAATGGATGGGAAAACTCAGGCTTTTTCTCTCTTCCTTCACAGAGCAAACAGAGCTCTTCCTATTCCGATAGAGACACCACTGAAGAGGAATCGGAATCTCTGGATGACATGGACTTCCTCACAAGGCAAAAGAAGTTGCAAGCCGAAGCCAAGATGGCGCTGGCCATGGCCAAACCCATGGCCAAAATGCAAGTCGAAGTAGAAAAACAGAACAGGAAAAAGTCTCCTGTCGCTGATCTCGTAAGCACCCAAGGCTGCGGCACCGGCCAGTGTCTCTGCCTGCAGATGGCACAGGCTGTCCCAATCCTCTCCCGCAGTTGTGCAAACTTGGGTTTCTCCAAGGCAGTTTGTCAAAAACACTGTTGTTGAGAAATAATTTTGTTTCCTTTTCCTTCTTGCTGTAGCCCTGAAAGATAAGTTAGCAATAGATACCACAAAAGCACTCTCTGCTCTGAATTCGGGTCCATTCTGTTTCTGGGAGACAATTTTGGCTGTTTTAGGAATAAAACCACCTAAGCCAATCTGGGTTTATGAACCTATCAATTGAGGCAAACCGGCTGTCCCTGAAATTCTCCCTCTAGCCTTTCATGGGACAGCCGAGCAGAGTGAGAGTCCTAGACTTTGGAGTTAAGTCTCACTGGGCCTTCGATCATGTTGTGTGATTCTGGGAGAATGACTTAAGTCTCACTTTTTTCATCTACCAAATGCCAGAGGGTGATTGTGAGGAGTTGATGACACAGTGTTTAAAGCACATTGCACAGTGCCATAGCCTGGTATACATTAGGTTGTATCAGATGCGATCACTTCTATCCATGTCACTATTGGTGTTACCTATGCTCCTGGGTAATACATTTGTGTTTAAAAAAACAACAACCAAACATCAAAAAGCCTTGGATGCAGGTAGTATAGCATTTGTGAGAAGGGTATTATTGGCCAACATGATGTATAGATGGGCTCCATGCTGGGAAGATCCCTGTTGAGAAGGTTGAAGGCCTAAGGCTGGAAGAGATTTTAGAGAGAGAACCTGAATTGGAATGGGTGAATGAGGGAAATCCCCCTCTTGTGTTCCGGGTGTTTGTGATTCCATGCACACCTCCGCTTCTCCCCTGTGCCCTCAGCTGCCGCACATGCCTCATATAAGTGAATGCTTGATGAAAAGAAGTTTAAAGCCCACAGACCTGAGAGGCATGACGATTGGGCAGCTACAAGTGATCGTCAATGACCTCCACTCCCAGATAGAAAGTGAGTGAGGAGCTGGGCAGGGCGGGGGGAAGCGGGGGGGGGGGGGGGCTGGAAGGACAAGCTGGGGGGGGGGTAGGGGTGGCAGGGCTGTACTCTTCCTTCATTCTGTTCCTTCCTAAGACACTTTGACCACATTATGCCTGTCTGTTTGCAAGGACAGGAAAAGAATCACCAGCTTGTCTTGTTTCATTTGTCTGCCTGTCTGGTTTTGCCAGTACTAGGGCTTGAGCTCAGGGCCTTGAGCTCTTGCTTGTGTTTTTCAATCAAGCTGGGTTCTCTACCACTTGAGCCACACCTTCAGTTCCAGGTTTTTTAGCTGGTTGTTTGCAGATAAAGAGTCTGTGTCTCACCCTCCTGAATAGCTAAGATTATCTCTGTGATCTTGGTTTGTTTTCTTGACTGTACAAATGTCAGAAGTTTTAAGAACTTTGCTAGATTCACCCTGGTTAGGGATCCTTCTCATTTGTCTTAATTCTCTTACTCCTAACACAGTATAGGTATTTAACTCACAACATCTGCTTCTAGAATATAGGTCAGTAGGTACCAGTCACTTGTGTAATTTATGCCTTCTATTTTACTTGTGTTGTGTACACATTTGTGTTAGTTATCATCGTCAGTCAAACTAGACTTATTTTGTGGACTTCTATGTGGTGAAATTGCGCATTACTAATATGTGAAAATTACAGGGTGTCAGAGTATGGGCTTTTCCCCCAGAATAAAGAAGGACCTCTAACAGAAGTGTCCAGAGTGAGTGTGAGTAACACTCACTAGAGTGTCTGGTCTTACAGTGAGTTGATGCCGATGGAGTCCAAAGGAAGAGAGGCCTTTCACTAAGAAATCATTATCGCTTTACAGGTCTTTTTAAAAACAATCTCAACTATTTTCATTGGGATTTAATTGCTATGATTGTTATTCAGTCAAGAATTAGGAAAGGCTCTCTGATACTTTACCACTATTTAAAGTCTAGGTCTACAGACCACCCATGGGTTTGTTTAGATTTGTAATCCTAGCTACTCAGGAGACTGATTTCTTTTCTTCCACCCCCCTCCCCCCGGCTGGTCGTTGGGCCTGAACTCTAGGCCTGGGTACTGTCCCTCAGCTCTTCAGCTCAAGACTAGCATTTAACCATTTAGCCACAGAGCCACTTCTGGCTTTTTCTGCTTATGTGGTGCTAAAGAATCAAACCCAGGGCCTCATGCATGCAAGGCAAGCACTCTACCACTGAGCCACCTTCCCAGCCCCAGGAGACCTATTTCTAAAGATCAAGATTGAAGCCAGTCCTGGAAGAAAAGTTCAAGAGATTCCATCTGCAGCAAAATTTTATACTGGAAACCTGGCTCACTTGATAGAGTGTCAGCTGTGAGCAAGAAACCTAAACACTTGTGAGGCCCTGAGTTCAAGCCTTGCAACTTCCAGAGAGAGATTCTTAAGGAAGAGTTAGACTTAATATAACAAAATTACGTCTTTTTAAAAGCAGGTGGAATGTTAGATTTATGTGATAGTTCTCTTTTTGGTAAATTGGAAACCAATCAGAACTAAACACAGACAGATGCATCATTTGAAACACTTCCAAGGTAACTGCTAGAACGTTCTCTACTCCTCCCCCACTTTCTTTTCTTTCCCTACCCAGAGCTCTCCCCCTTATCGAGCCCTCCCAGCTATGATTCTTAGCTTCTTTGAGGGTCGTAGGGGGAGCAAGAAACAGTCTCCTGCCTGTTCAAATGTGTCAGACACAGGAGTCACATTAACCCAGTGTATTGTTTGCAACTACCTGTGTTTAATCTCCTGTATCTAAAGAAGATTATCCAGAAATTTGAAAATCTTAACACATCCGACTCTTCCAGAGAGCTGACTTTCCAATGTATTCAGACACTACTTCTTCTCAGAACAGTGACCTCTCCGATTCTCCATGACTCGCCCACCTTCCCTCCTGGGCATGGGGCTGGGGGCCTCAGTGGGCACCTGAGGGGCGCCCCTAACTGCGCATAACTCCCCACTCTTCAAACAAAATCCTGCTTTACCTAGCCTGCTACTTTTCTGCTTTTCCTGCTGTAACATGGATGAAATTGAAAACATGGGCGGACTGTCTGAAATCCAAAACTCTAACCTGCTCTGAACTCCAGATTTTTGGTTCCAGATTTTTAGGATGATGGATGCCTATTTTAAGTTAACAGTCTATGAAAACACTTGAAAGACTTCCAAATCCATGCATTTTCAGATAAAGAATGCTCAGTCTGTACTTTCATTTTTACTCCTTTTCTTCCAACACACAAACGGGCCTTGTTTTTCCCACAGATCACTTCACCTGGGCTTACGAAAGGCCAGTGTGAGAAGTCTCCATTTGTTCATGTGTCTTTACTGTGGTGCTTAGTTCATTTTCCATATTGATGTGTCGATGATGCTCATAGGATTGGATGCGGCTTCATTTATTTTTTCAATGCTCCTTTCTTCACCCCAGGCTTCAATGAAGAGTTGGTCCAGCTTCTCCTCATCCGAGACGAGCTGCACACTGAGCAAGATGCCATGCTGGTCGACATTGAGGACCTGACCAGGTGAGTCAAAGAAGGAAGGAAGCCTGGGGTGGGCCGAAATTGAAGCGAGAGGCTAGGGACGTTGGCCTGTCACTGATAGGCCTGACTTTACCCTGCTGGAGTCCTGACCCAATGCACTTGTTATCAGCGGCCATGCTTTCCTAGTGAGGAATTCTCAGTATCTCAGCCCTTCTCACACCTTCTTACATCGTCACTTAGGTCTGCGTCCACTTGGGCTGTCCTCCAGGGAGCTGGTCCTAAGCCATCCTATACTGGAGTGTTCCCAGAGTGATGTTGGGTGCTAGAGGCCCCAGCTCTTGGTGGTCTCGACCATGCCTGGAAGGTCGGGAACCTGGGGTCTCACAGCAGCTCTGTTGCCACCAGATAGCTCCTTCCACAGGGAAACTCTAGGACCTGAGCTTCTGAGTGCGTCTTGCTCCAGTCACCTCTCTTCAGAGAACAAATAAACCATACTAATGCTGGTTAGGCATCTCCACTTCTTAGCTTTCCTTGTGGAAAAGCTTGACATGCATGGACATCACACACTGTATATGCAACTGCTACTGTTCCTGTGATTTCAGATTTCCTTTTCTGAGACCATCCATATGACATCTCTAAACCAAGAGACAATTATTAATCCCAGTAGGGTTATTCAGAGAGTAGAAGGCACCCCCAAGAAAGCTGGTCATGGTCACATAAGAATTCAACCACAAGCCAGGCGCCTGTGGCTCACACCTATAATCACTACTCAGGAGGATGAGATCTGAGGATCATGGTTCAGAGCCAGCCCAAGCTGGAGATTAACCACCAAAAAACCAGAAGTGGCGCTGTGGCTCAAAGTAATAGAGCTCTAGCTTTGAGCAAAAAAGCTCAGGGACCATGCCCAGGCCCTGAGGTTCAAGCCCCATGACCAACAGCAACAACAACAAAAAAAAATCGGCAACATAATCCAGAGCCACCCCACAGAAGCTTAAGTATGTAGTGACGCTCACCTCAGTAAAGTTATAATGATGCCATGGCTTTTGTAGCAAATTAAATACTGTGTGGCTCTTTTTTAAAGGCCTATAGATTATGCTTTTTTGTGTATTTTAAATATTTTGGCTTATCCCTTATCAAATAATAATAACAAAAAAAAACTAATAGGCCTTCTCCTATGTTGAACATATATAGAATAACCTGCATCTGGAATAGAACATAAAATAATATTAGTGCCACCTACAGGTGTCTTCAGGCACTACAGCAACTGGGAAACAAGGCTTTCTCTAAGTATTTGCATGGAAGTATTGAGATGACAGAAAATCATTAGTAAAAATGTGACTTTGATTTTCACACACACACACACACACATACATTCCAAACTCTCCCACAAACTCTTCTGCACCTCCGAACCGAAGGACATTGCTTACTAAAGGGTGCGAGGAGGGGCTTCTCCGATTTCACAGTATTCCGCTGATCTTCAGTTTGCACTATGTGTTTTCACACCTGTCAGATAGTGTGGTCATGAGAAACAGGGTAGACAAGATCATGAGGTTGGAAGAAGAGGAGTCACATGTTGGAGGGGGCCTTTAAGTGGAAGCAGTCCTGTAGGTGCTGGGATATGATGTCCCCCCCACCCCCTCAGACATCTCCTACTGCAGAGAGGTGACAGGTCTAAGGAGGACCAGAGGACACAGGGACATTCCTCTCAGTAGCAGAGATCTCAGGAGGCTGATGGAGCCTGCAAGGGCTGCTGGGAAATTTTGCTTACCTTCTCCTGCCACTGTAGACTCAGATCAGTGGGTCTTCAGGTGGCTGCTCATTGGAACCATCCAGGAAGCTTTCTGAAATGGTGATGCCTGAGCCCCACCCTCGGGAGTTGCAGATTTCATTATTCTGAGGCCTCAGGACTTTACCTTCCAGGTGATTTTAATGCAAACCCAAATTTCCAAAACAGCAGTTTACAAGCTCCTCTGCAAAAAGCCTCCCAGACCACCAAACAGCTTACTTTCAAGCCATCATCCCTGCACATCCTTCTACTCCTGGAGTGGAACATCGTGCTCTGGGACTTCCTCCCCATCCACCGAAATCAGAGCAACACTCCTGGCCTAGGAGGCTTTATCCTGAAGGGCTGACCCCTGGGGAATGGTCCCAAGCCACTCCACATTGAGTTTCCCACAGTGGGTGCCATGGAGCATCCATAGTGACAGCTGTTACGCAGCCAGGTTTTGACTGCCAGGGCTCAGTGAGGACCCTCTTCTTCATGATCCTCCCGACAGCCCACCCATCCCATGTGGAGCCCCATCGCCATGTTGGGTCTGTCTGCAGTCTCTCTTCACTTGACATGAACTCTCCCTGAGAGCACCGATGACACCATCTTTGTTCATTGCTGTTATTCCCAACATCATAGGTTTGCAGTCCAGGTTATCAGACGAGCCTGCCAGGCACCTGGTAGGTCCTCAGTATGATTGTTGATAAAAACAATGGTCTGAGGCAAATCTTACAAAGGCTTTTCATATATGATGTTGAGAAACCTGTGGAGTGAAATCCTTTCCCTCCTTTGTTTAAAAGTGTTAATGAAATTCAACTTTGTATGTCTATCTCCGAAGAATACTTAATTTTCCAAAGTGTTTTCTTCTCTCCTTCTCAGCAGATGCCTTGATACATGGTTGCTCATATATGTGTCCCTGTGTACATGTACATGCATAGTAAAGCAACTTAATTAGCCACAGTGGAATCAGAATGTTTCTTGAGGCAAATTTGAATCTGTGGACACATAGTTGCCTTATGAAAATGGTCTCTGCTGTCTACCCTGTACACACGATGACTTGTTACGGAATGGAGAGCTAAGTCTTGTACACTCCCCACTACTCCCCCCGACCAGTCTTTATTGAGAGCTGAATGCAGCCATTTATTTATCGGCTGCTCTCTGTGGCAAGGCTGCTGCAGTGACTTCCCTCTTTCTGAAAGTATTTGTGGTATTTGTCTTCCTTGCACAACCGAATCGAGTCACTGCATAAATCCAATGAGTGGAACTTGATGTCTCTGACTCCCCAGACCCAGGGTGCACACACAGACAAGCCCTCAACCCTTCAGTACAGCAAGAAACCACAGCCTTGGATATTTCTCTCTTGCCAAATTTGCCATTTCCTAAAATTGTCCTTCAAGACCCTTGTGTTTCTGCGGCCTTCGCCTGCTATCATTCTCTAGGAAGAGTGCATTCAACAGATGTCAGCATTGTCTTGGTCCACGCTGTCCAGCTGCCGGACTGGCCAGCTTTGAGGTCACCCCCCCCCCCAGCCCTGCCCTTGATTGTGAGGATATGCCCTTAACAGAGCAGGAAAAACACATGCAATATGGAAGTCACCCACCAAGGCCAGGCCTTATGGGCCATTAGCTTCTGTGAGGACATGTTAGATTACTGAGCTGTCAGGAGCCATCGCTAAGACAAAGATTGTCTCTTAGACAAGTTCCTTCCGTCACAAATCCTGGTTGGTATTTTTTTTAAACGGTTTTGTTTTACAGTTCTGGGATATAACCCAAGAACCCCACGTCCTAGGTAAAGGCTGCACCAGTGAGGTCTGCCCCAGCCCTCACGTCGGTTTGTCCTCTGCCATTTGTTATCCATGGTTCCTTTCTTGTCTCTTCATTGGAATGTGTTACTCAAGGGAACAAAGACCTTGCTGTCTTCGCTTCCCATCAAGCCCCCTCCACAAGGGCAAGTGTCTAGAATATAAAGTATTTGTTGATAGAAAATGTGCCCTGGAGCCAGGCGCCAGTGGCTCACGCCTGTCATCCTAGCTACTCAGGAGGCTGAGATCTGAGGATCACAGTTCAAAGCCAGCCGGGGCAGGAAAGTCTTATCTCCAATAATCCACTAGAAAACTGGAAGTGGCCCTGTCCAGGCCCAGAGTTCAAGCCCCACAACTGACAAAAAAAAAAAAAAAAAAATGTGCCCTACACTCAACTTCTATCCTTTTTTTTTTTTTTACTGGGGAAAGGAGGGGTCAGTCGTGGGGCTTGAACTCAGGGCCTGGGCACTGTCTCTGAGCTTTTTTTGTTCAAGACTAGCACTCTACCTCTTTCAGTCCCCTCAGCCACTTCCTGAGCACTCAGTGACTGGTCTGTGTATGTTACAGGCACGCCGAGAGTCAACAGAAGCACATGGCAGAGAAAATGCCCGCAAAGTGAAGAGAAGCCAGCCACCAGGAGGAGGAGCTAGAATTTATTTTGCTTCTGTGGTTAAAAAAAAATTGCCATTGCTAAAGGTGATGCAGAAACAAACAAATATCAGTGTTTGTCATGGTCATGTCTGAAGCTTCCTGTTCAGTGATCGGCCTTTGCTTCTTAATTTATTTTAATTTTTTTACTTGTGCCACTTAATATCGGGCATTTTAATAAAATATTGTTACAAAAACAAACCAAGTAACTGTACAGTACTTAAACACCATCGCGAATCGTGGTAAATCCGAGAGGGTAGTCTTAGCTTTATTTTTATGGGTTTGGAGATTTTAAGTTGGAGCAGTACTTTTCCCGCTGACAGCTTCCATCCTCCACTGTAGTTTTAAGGATCTGTAACCGATGGTGCTACGTGAGACATCATGCCTGCCTCCTCGTGACGTTGTAGCTCTCCCGACGTCTGCCTCGTGACGTTGTAGCTCTCCTGACGACGCCATCTTAATCAGTTTTCAACATTTTGTGAATGTTGACTATCTGAAGTTCATTTCTCGACGTGCTATTAACAATGTTTGAATTCAGAGGCTTCCTTAAAAGTTTTATGTATAAATATGTAAAATAAAGATTAAAACTTTGTTTCATATCCCATGTCTTCTTGCTCACTCACAGACTGACTGGCTGTGTTTCCTGGCCCTTCACCCCTATACAACCAAACCCCCCCCCCTACCCCCCTAGGAGCTTTTACTAGTGAGGAAAATAGTGTCTCTAGGTGATTGCTGGGAAAGTGTGCATGTGTGTGTGTGTGTGTGAGAGAGAGAGAGAGAGAACAGGAGGAGACAAGTAGGCAGGGAGAGAGAGAGAGAAAGGAAAAGAAGGGAGAGAAGAGAGGAGGTCAAAGATCAGTAAACATCATAGCCAGCATTTCTGTTACTGCCAGAAGCTTGAATGTTTTAGAATGTTCTTAAACAACTGCTGGTCTTATTAGACCCTAATAGTCTACCAAAGCTACATTTTGTCAGATTCACCACATGAACAAAGCTGGCCTTCACTGTTACTAAGGCCAGTTGTTGCTATTTCTATCATTGGTCTCAAAAAGCGTTTGACTTATAGATTGTTTCTCAATAAGTAGAGAGTTCAGACAATAGATCTAATTAGCTACTGGCCGGGCAGGTGACATGAAATCGACACAGATATTAAACCAAGAGCCTTGTGCATATCTGGCAAGCCCTGAGTTCCATCAGCAGCCAAACCCTGTTTAACCAAAATTCTACAGTGGGGTTTTTTTTGTTTTGTTTTGTTTTGGCTTTTTGCCTCTAGAAAATCATCTCTGTTTCAGTGACTCCCCCTTTTTTTCAGTTTTGAGACCTCTTCAGTTCATTTCAAATCCTGTCTTCTACTCCAACCTTTCCCTCTTGCCACTGGGGCAGAAATCAGGAGATTTGTTATAACCAACATATTATTTACCTATTTCTGTATTATGGATTTTTGGTGCCAGTACTGGGGCTTGACCTCAAGGCCTCACACTCTAGCTTGGCTTTCTCTCTCAACACTGGTGCTCTACCACTTGAGCCATTATCTTTGATTCCAGCTTTTTGTTGGCTTAATTTGAGGTAAGAGTTTAATAGACTTTTCTGCCCATGCTGGCTTTAAACCTCAGTCCTCAGATCTTAGCCTTCTGAATAGATAGGATGATAGGCATGACCCACCAGCACCCAGCTTCAAAATTTTTTCCCTTGCTTTGTGAAGTTTATATGAAGAGTTTTTTTTTTTTAAGTAATGTATGTAAAGCTTTTAACATGGCATCTAAAGACAGTAAACATTATTTTAATAAGGTCTAAGTCTGATTTCTGCTGTGGTCATGATAGCATAAAATACTTGAAGAGTCTCCACTACAAAGTATCTAGAAAACTGGATAGGCTATTGAGACGACTGTCTGGAAAACAAGCATACAGAACTGAGTTACTGCAAGAAGGAAGGTGAATTCAGTGAGCACTCCAGTTCCCTGGAGACAGAAAGGGGACAGGTCATAATCAGAGCATGATAGAATAAAACTGGGGCTGGGAAGGTGGCTCAGCGGTAGAGCGCTTGCCTTGCATGCCTGAGGCACTGGACTCTTTTCCTCGGCACCACATAAGCAAAAAGAAAAAAGCCAGAAGTGGTGCTGTGGCTCAAGTGGTAGAGTGCTAGCCTTGAGCTGAAGAGCTGAGGGACAGCGCCCAGGCCCAGAGTTCAGGCCCCACAACCAGACCCCCCCCCCCAAAAAAAATAAAACATGACACTTTTTAAAGGAAAATAACAACATCAAGACACACAATGAGACAGCATTCATAATGTATAGATTCCAAAGCAAACATTGTAAGAAAACATGATCCATCCCCAGAAGAAAACTAGTCAATAGAAATGGGCCCAGACATCACAGATTGAAGGATTTTAAGAATAATACTGGGCTGGGTGCCAGTTGTTTGTGTTTATAATCCCAGTTATTCAGGAGGCTGCTATCTAAGGGCCCTGGTTTAAAGCCAGCCCAAGTAGACAAATCTGAGAAACTTACTTCCAATTAATCAGCAAGACATAGGTCAAAAGGCTCTTAGTAGTGTGCTTCCGTTCATTGGTGGAAATCCAACTTCAAAAGGCAAAACACTCCAATGACACCTCTCCTGCTTTGCTACAGTCCTCCCGTCTCTCCTCGCTCAGACTTTGGAGGCCTCTGTGCTTTTGCCATGGCTTGTTTCCTCACACTGGCCTGCCCCGCCGAGGCTGCTCAAGCCTCCATCCCTACCATGCATGAACTGATAGCCACGCCTTAGACAGAGAGGAGAGCCAAGAAATTAGCCACCACAAAGAACACCAGATGAGCTCAATTAGAACATCTGTTTCCTATGTAATGCCCTTCAGAAAAGGCATGGTATTGTGGGCATTCCAACTCAGATTCCAGCAAGCCAGGGGAAATCCAACACCAAAAGCCACTGTTGTCTAAGGTAAGGCCCGCTTTCCTGGGGTTTTATACCCTGTGCATATGGGATTAGGGAGTGTTTCTACAGCAGTCACGAGTTATTCTACATACCGTGGACACCTTTAATTTCACCAATGAAAGCCCTCTTTATATAAAAAAATTTTTATATAAACATGACTATGGATTTTTATAATAATGTGAGCAGCCCAAATATTTATCAAGTGACACAGGAGACCTTTGTGTTGGCTCAGACCTCAAGTTCCTGCAGCCCTCGTGAACACGCTTCGATGACTGCATTCCTCGCTGAATTCTGATGATCTCCTAATACAATTACCTTTCCCACTGCTGCTCATTTATTTTATCTAAATAAGATAGGACGAATTCATTATGAGATAGGTTGATGGGTAATGAGTTTTCCAGGATATTTTCACTGAGGCTTGTAGTCGGTTATCTGTATAAATTAAGGCTATATTAAATAATTTATGAACCAATGGCTCAGCTGTATAGAAGGGAAGTGTTAGGCTAATTTGGGAGTGAGAATCAGAAAGGCTTTTCATTTAATGGCTTTAGTAAAAGGGAGGGGGAGGGAAGTCTCAGAATAATGCAGCTCCTATTGCTATAACAAGCTCTTCTTTGAAAAACGTCTGGCTCCACCCTGCTACTCCACAATGTGAAAGAGCAAGGGAGAGGCATGATTTTATTTCCATCTTCCAGGCACTGCAATTTTTGTGTTGCTTATTTATGACAGGGTTCTCTCTGATAGAACGCGGCTTCCTTGTGGGGCTCTTCAGGAAATATTGAGGCATATGTATAGTGACTTGGGCAAGGCCTAGGCAGGTCTGGGAATGGAGTCATTGGTTTTCTGCCTCCTGAAGTTCCCTCCAGATGTGGTCTTACTCGGGAGGAGTCACGGTCCCTCCAAATGTGTCCTCTCACCTTGAGAGGGGGTTTGGGGGGGGGGGTCGCAGGGCATCCCCTTGTATGCCAGATGGCATTTGAACGAGTCCAGCATCCTCCTTCATCTCCCCTGTGGTATGGATGAGAGAATTCAAGGTACAGAGGGCAGTGCAGACATTCGCGGAGCCTTCCTGTTCATGGCGAAGCCTGTTTCCTCTTTGTAGTAAAAGACTCTGCCCTGCTGTTAAAACGCGCGCCCCACCCCACATGCAAATCACACTGAACAGAGCGCGCATCCGCTCTGTGTGGCCAAGTCATTCTCTTTTTCAGGAAGTCTTGTCTGTGCAAGGACAATGGGGGTGGCATGCCTGTATGGGTAATGAGTCCAACGGCATGCATGAAGTTCTGGCTATACCAAGAGTGGGAGTGAACTGGAACTGGGGCCTTGCTGGAGTTCCCAGCCAGTGTCACTCCCTGGGCTGGGTGTGTGGGGAAGACTTCTGCCAGGAAACAGAGCTGACTGTGAGAAGTGGGGAGACCAGATTGAGGACTCAGAGGACAACTGTACCCCTTGGCAGCCTCACCCAGGCCTGGCTTCTACCCGATCGGTGCCTGTTGGTTACCTTGAACCCACGGGCTAGGCCGTAGCTTGCTGGGCTTTGTCTCTGAGCAGCAGCCTGCCTGCCTTTCACCCATCTGCAGCAGCCAGGAGAAGGTCTGCACTGTCCACAGGGGACTCGGCAAAGCTCAGAGCCGTGCCCAGCCGCAGCCATGCTGAGGACTAGAGACGTTTGCATGACCAGAGAGGGTGGCATGACTGCAGATCACGTGTAAGCAAGGCTGAAAGCTCTTCCAGTGGAACTGACAGTGTGGCTCAGCACAGAATACCTGCCTAGCACCTCGTGGGGAGCAGGAAGTGGGGATATCTCTCTGGTTGTGGTGGCTCATGCCTATAATCCCAGCTACTTGAGTGATGGTGATAGGAGGGTCACAATCCAAGGACAGTCCAGGAAAAAGTAAACAAGGCCCTATCTTTTTTTTTTTTTTTTGGTCCGTCGTGGGGCTTGAACTCTGGGTCTGGGCGCTGTGCCTCAGCTCTTTAGCTCAAGGCGAGCGCTCTACCACTTGAGCTACAGCGCCACTTCCAGTTTTCTGGTGGTTTATTGGAGATAGGAGTCTCACAGTCTCTCCTGCCCGGGCTGGCTTTGAAACGCGATCCTCAGATCTCAGCCTCCTGAGTAGCTAGGATTACAGGCATGAGCCACCAGCGCCCGGCTACAAGGCCCTATCTTGCATCCGTGCAAGTGTGTGTGTACATGTTGTATTCCTAAAATCCCACCTACTCAAGACACAGAGGGCAGAGGATCAAGATCAGAGGCTAGACTAGACATAAGAGAAAGATCCTTGGGATAAAAAGAATCAGGGTCATGGCTCAAGTGGTAGAGCACCTGCTTAGCAAGCAGAAGGTCCTGAATCCAATCCCCAGGACCCCCGAAGAAGTAATCTGATGTTACTCCCCACTTCCCAAGCTGACCATAAGGGCTCCCTCCCCCCAAAACATTGAGGCAAAAATGATGTGAAAGATAGAAATTCATATGGCTTGGAGGGAAGAGGCAGAGTCAGCAATTACTAAAAGTTTTGAATGGCTCCCTTCAAGTACCCGCTTGAAGTTTCTTGTTCATTTGTCCCTTACAAGAAAGAGTCGTGTTGAATGATAACCTCTTTGTACAACTACTTCAAGACGGTCAAAATATAATTTACAAAGAAAGAGTACTTCCTAGGGCTGGGAAG